TATATATAATATAGAGAAAATAATTATATATTTAAATATTATACGATTAATATTTAATCGCGGCTCTTAGAATTTTCGACTCGCCGATTGAGGTTCGAATTGGGCGTTTTCGGAAATAAGCGAGTTAACCCGAGACTGCGAGAGATCGGCAATTTCATTCCGAGGTAGACCACGGTGTTGTGCACGTCGAGTGAATTCGCAAACGAGCAAAGTTCTAAGTTTATCTTACGGTGCGTGTGCTAAAAGATGTGGCTCAAGGCAGTCACCTAAGGCGGTGCTACTAGATAGCTCAAGGTGTTGTCCCAGGCGTAAGCCAACGCGTGGCTCATAGTATCATCCCCAAGGCGTTGCAACGGGTATTTTACCGCGAACGTTATCGCGGACCGATGCCGCGATGCAATGGTCCGACATGCGTATAATTCGATCGTGTGCGAGTTTTTTGCTGAACAGTGAAATTGTTATCACACGATGCGGCGCTATCAGTAATGGGCACATCGAAGCTAGTAGTATAGATGCTTGACGCGCATACATTGTATTGATCATAATAAACTTATCAACCTGACTCTGTGTGACGTTTTTTAAACATTTAATACACCTGAAACTACAGTGCAACTACTAAAGCTGTTTGTGCTGAATATGATATTATAGTGAAAACAAGCAAAGCAATTTACTCTGTATCATTTGTGTACTTATTCGTTCAGTACTTGTTAGTTGATACACGTATAAACTTTATCCTCCAATATAAGCACTCCGCAGTGTAATTCTCCTGCAGTTTTTAAACGATCTATTTCTGAAATTTTTATAAAAAGTATTTAAACTCGTACGTTTACTTTCGTGCAGCAAGAATTGATTCAAGTTACTAGTCGACGACCGAAAAATTATGACAAAATCGCTACAGTCAGCGCTGGCACCATTATTTATTATCAGTTCGTTCTATGGTTTGGGTTTGTTTGAATATCCAGTTGGACAACCTAAGCTGTATTTCTCTTGTCTGTATGCCTCGGCTAAATGGAGCACTTTAATATACCTTTATTATCCAAGTTACATCTACCAATGGCAGTGTAATATGGGAATGTTTATAGAAGAACTTTTAACTGTCTTGATCATCCTTATAATTATTCTTAACAGTTTCTATCGTTATAAGGTATAAATTTTTAAATATTCTTTCTCAGTTTCCAATATTACTTGATCTTTGAATATTTCTTAAATTCCGTTTAAATGGATTTTTAATTGAAAGTAAAGAAGTCATAATATGCAATAACAAATTTCTTATTTTGGATGAATATGAATTTGTAAGTTTTTTTTTTTTAAATCAGTTTGGATTTTCATTAATATATATTTTGATATATATTAATGTATTAATATTTATTGTAAACAAAGTTTGTTTAATAAAATTAAGATTTGTATTTATATTATTGCGACCATGAATTTGTTTTTAAAAGAATTTATTTATTAAATTGCAATAACACTTGAGCTAGCATCTTTTTGTACACATTGCAATAGCAATTTCTATTATTTTAAGAGAGTATACACTTTAATAGTTTATATTTTATATTGTATAAACAGTCTAAATGATTTTTTTTTAAGAAATTGAAGATATGTTTACATGAACTCTTCATGGTAGACGACACATTGGAAGCACTCGGTGCTCCAAAGGAATACCACGTGTTGCGTAAATGGGTACATCGAATAACAATTGGATGGAATGTATCCTTTTTTATTGATTTAGTGAGATCAACGAGTATTAATTTTGCTTTCCATTCACACGAAAATTTATTATATATTTTATATGAATCATTTATCTTCGTATACTTGAATTATATAATTGTCTCAAGTGTTTTGATTTGTGAAACTGTTCTTGGGTTAGTACAAAAGTCGACATTTAGTTTGACTTTGATTATTTAATAATGATTTTTAGTGTACGTTTATAACGTATGTATATGTTTTTTTAATTTCACTGAATGATTTAATTGAGTGTCTTTCATTCAATTCAGATACGCGAGCTCCAGGTTTCATCGAATCAATAATCTACTATTATGTGTAATTTATTCCGATATTTTCGAAAATAATGCAGATTACAGATGTAGAAGACAAAACAGATCCATTTTAGACAATCAACGGATAACAGGAGATAAAAATCGCAAGCAATATGTATGGAATATAATGTAATTTAAAAAAAAAGAAAAAATTACGGTGTGTATAAAAATGAGCTCTCATATTTGTATGTTTACAGTGTTTCTCGTTCTAAATTTCGTAATATACCGAATAGTACATAGGCTATTTAAAAAACATTTAGAAAACGCAATTATTCGAAAAACGCGGTGTGCATTAAGCCTTGTGTCAACGGTGCATGATTTTGATACGAATTCTTGGATCAAAAAATATGTAGCTAGTCAATTTATACTCTTTCCGTAAAAATCACATATTAATTAGTAATTACACATTTCTGTATTATAGTATCGTCAAATATGTACCCGGACATGAACCACATCTCAGCAACCAGTGGCGACATCTGTGCGTTCAAACATGCATTTGAAAGGTTTAACATTTCCCCCTATCATCTGTCAAAGTTTCATTCATTTTGGTTGACATATAACGAAGATATCACAGTTCATGTTAAACAAGATTTCGGTCGAGGTAGAAATTTTAATATGGAACAAAGAGCAGTGATTAAATTTAACGTAAAACTTGGTAAAAGTGCATCAGAAACATTCCGATTGATGCAACAAGTTTACGGCAATCAATGTCTAGGTCGTACAGCTGTTTTTGAGTAGCATAAGCGTTTTTTGGAAGGCAGAGAGACCCTTAAAGATGACAAAAAATCAGGACGGCCAATTTTGGTTCGAACACCCGAAATGATCGAAAAAGTACGTGATTTTGTTGCAAACGATCGCAATGCGTCACTAAAAATGATGAAGGAGGCTTTAAATATCAGTAGAGAAACGATTCGAACCATATTACATGAAGATTTGGGTAAAACGAAGGTTGTGCGAAGTTTGTTCCACACACATTAAGAAGCGATCAAAAATCAATGAGAATCAATCATTCCAGAGACATCGTTGCAGCCGCAGAAAATAATCCAAACTTCCTAAAATCAATTTCAACTTCTCATTATTCCCAAAATTGAAATTGAAATTGAAAGGACGCTTTTTTGATGACATTCCGACCATCCAATCAGCTTGTACACAGGCACTACAGGCAATTCCGCAAACTGAGCTGGAACATGCATTTGAATCACTATTGAATCGCTGTAATAAGTGTATTGAAGCCAGAGGAGAATATTTTGAATAATAAAACCAAAAAATATGCATATTTGTTGTTTCAATTATGATTTTCAGGCCCTGTCCGGGAACACATTTGTCGCACTGTGTACATATTAATTACACATTCCTGAAATTCAAGAACTCAGACCGCGTTGTAGCATCATGAACACAGTGTTATAGACACGTAATAAGTTTAGATAAACAGGCGTTGAAAATATTACTTTCGCTGGTCTCTTAATGAAATTATATGACGTTTTTGCATAATATTATATATTTTCTCCAATTATTTTGCATATATCTGTTTAACGTAACGCGAAAAGGTATGGTAATGGAAAGCAACTATTGTTGTTGGATTGTAAGGAAAGGGAAAATCATGTTCTATTTGGCGATATGGAAAAACAAGAACATTTAAGTTTCGAAGTTACGTGACAAGTAGGGATGTTCCGATATAATTGATATTTTGAAATATCCTATCATTTATCCTTTTGACATTTGCGTCGAAACTTTCAGTTTCCCTATGTAACATATCGGATATGGAACCTAGATATCAATTGATTCTATAAAAACTGTATTTCTAATATTCAACTGCATAAATTCGTGTTGCTTGAAATCCTCATAAATTGTTAAATTTAAAAATAAATAAATATACAAATTGCAAAGAGAGAGAGAGCGAAAATGCTGAGTCTAATTTTCTCTCTCCCTTTCCCATTTGTAAGTTTCCTAAACTATATATAATTTTGTTGATAAATAAATGAATTTATTTACCTAGTAATTTTTTCATTTTTCTCTAATAACGGTTATCGAATAATTTTTATTACACATTAAAAATAAATATATAACAACTAAATATATTAGAATACAGTAATAACAAAATAAATACATAATAAATAAAAAGAATATACATATAAATATACATTAACAAAATATAATATAATATACTAAAAATAAAAATGGATTATATTCTATACACGACGGCGACATAATTAATTTAAGTCGTCTATCGCCGTCCGAACTCGTTCGATGTTATAAAAGAAAACAGTATCCTCTAATTTTTACAAAAAGAAGTGAAATCAATAAAAAAAGACTTCACAAAGGATAAAAGAGAAACGCAAGTACACATAAAGCGTATTAACTATACAAAAAGCATGAACTCTATACATTGCCAAGTATATCATTATACGTATATAAAGATTTCGAAAACCCTATACAAATCTATTAAAACTTCTTCTTAAATAATAAATATACTGTCAGCGCAATTACCTAACAATTAGATCCATTAAACGTTATTTTAATGTTTTGGAACAACCCGTTATGTGAAATTTACTAACATTCATTACCTGATGCCATCATATAACTCTGTGACGTTACATTGTAAAAAATAAAAGGTTAATATATTTTCTGAGACATGCAAATGTTAAAATAAACATTTTTGTGTTGATGTTAACATTTCTGCATGTCTAAAAAATCCAATCAACGTCTTTTTGAGTTAAAATTAGCATCTATTTTTTACCCTTTCAATAAAAATCCATCAGATTTAAAGAAGCACAAAAAATGCTTACAGCGCATAAGCATGAATATGGTACACATACTTTTAAGATAGTACGCTACTATAATATCACAAATTGCTTAATTCTTTCGTTGATCGATTACAATATATTCAATTTCAATTTCCGCCACTGACAAAAAATTGTTGTCAGCATATATACAGGGTGGCTGAGAATAACCGCATAATATTTCATGAGTGGGTAGAACAGACTATACTGAGTCGAAAAGTCCTGTACCATTTTGCGATTGCAGTAATAGTTAACGAGATATTAATTTATAAAAATATTTAAATTCGCCCGGCCCACCGTCGAATGCAAGCGCGCGGCTGGATAGGACCGCCCTGCAAAGCGCGCCGCGCGCGTTTGCGTTCGCCGTCGCTAGGCACGCGACTCATGTCTAGCGACGACTATTGCCGCTTGTTATAAACAACGCTTGTTATAAACAACGCCTAGCGACGGCGAAAGCGCCCGGCGCGTTTCGCTGGGCGATCCTATCCAGCCGCGCGCTTGCATTCGACGGTGGGCCGGGCGAATTTAAATATTTTTATAAATTAATATCTCGTTAACTATTACTGCAATCGTAAAATGATACAGGACTTTTCGACTCAGTATAGTATGTTCTACACACCCATGAAATATTATGCGGTTATTCTCAGCCACCCTGATACAATGCGTTGGAATACCTATAGTGTTCGATTTTAGAAGTCTATGTTCTGTCCTTTTTACATTCATGACTTTTTACATTCATCGTCAGCCGACCGACGTAACCTCAGTTTTGATCAGAGAAATTTCTAAAATATTTAAAACTTAAATAAAAGGAGTCGGAGATCGAAGCCTTTAATATATTAAGTAAGATTAGTTTTGAAGAAATATAATTGCTTTTACATTCGTAGAAATGATACCGATCAAAACTGAGATTACACCGATCGGCTAACAAAACACAATTTATTGACTCTAAGATATATATATTCATGATCGCTGATGTAACATCCGGTCGTATCTGTTGTGAATGTAAAAAAAACCGAGAACGAAACATAGACTTCTCAAATTAAACCCCAGGCATTTGTGCAAAGGACGGTGCGTGACCGCAGGCACACGCGAAAGAACCGAAAACAGAGCTCAGTTTAACGCAAATTATCGCTATCTTCCATCGATTAACAAAATGGACTGACGATTGTTTATGAAAATTAGATCCTTCACACGATTTCATCTCAACTTAATCAAAAGTTTGAAAATCGTGTGACAATTTTTTATAATCACAGTTTAACGTTTCATCATTGCAATCTCGTTTCTAATTAAAACATCAATGTTAACTTGGGTCATTCAAATAAAATCGCGACAACTTCAGGAACTTTGTATATACACGACGTATATAAAAGCATAATGTCTAATTGCTCGCGTCTCAACACTGAAATGCCACTGCCATTTTGCAAAATCGCAAAAGAGGTAAAACATAATCAGTCGTCATTGTACTATTTTATAGTTATAATTTGAAATCTGTAAATAATTAATTCTTTTTGCGAAAGATATTGTCTCGCCCGAGAGTCGAACACGAATCTCTTACATTCTATACAACCGTCCTTACCAGTTAAAATATTATCATGATTACATGTACTCGAAATATAAAATCAAATAGGAATATGATAATGAATTAAATATTTTTTTTATGAATGACAAATTCGTCTGTATACATAAATCTTGATTCTTTTTAAAGACTTTGAACAAAGAACAATGAGATACGGAAATCTAACGTCATATTTAGTGACCTATTTCTGTCGAGTTCTGGTAGCAGAGAATTTAATACACGCGGAAACTTAACTTATTCATATTTTATTTATAGAAACGTAAAAATAAAGACGATCCAGTGAGAATGAATTGGAAACATGATAATCTTGAAACATATACCGCGCAAGGATGATGTCTTTTACCTCTGTGCTCCGAACGTATATGATAGCCCAATTACTACTTAGTATGGGAAATACTTTCACACATATTCTTTAGATACATAATAACATCAAAGTCATTTGAACTAGGATGCCGTGCATTCACATGTCTATCTAGGTAATGTTTATGTCTGCAAAACGACCGTTGTAATATTTATCATTATTTACCAATTTATTTAAGCATTTATGTTGAAGAGCCAAACAATTAGTTTAACTTTTGTTGCTTAATTAAATACTTACATAAATCTAAATCCACAATATTTGCATTCAAAAGGTCTTTCATCGTTATGCATTCTATCATGTTTAATTAAATCCGATTTATTCTTAAACTTTTTATCACACTTTTCGCATGTGTGTGTTACCCCTACATTATATAGGTGCTTATTTTCCTTGTACCTATCATCATTTTGATGCTGTGAAAGTACATGCCCCTGTAAGGAAAATCTTGACCTGTAAATGACCGTTAGAATATTTATTATTTTCTACCTAATAGTTTAATCATTGATACTCAAGGGCTACGTAATTACCGTAACATACGTTCTTCACTTATATTCTCACCTAAAGCTTTTCCCACAATATATGCATTTAAAACGGTTTTCTCCGGTATGAGTTGTTTTATGTCTATCCAACCACGATTTAAACCGAAATTTTTTACTACATATTTCGCATATGTGTGGCCTAATTAAATTATCTATGTCTCTCTTATTCTGATTCGAAGTTGTCGGGGTGTTCGAGCGCTTATCTGTATATTAAGAAAAGTTCTTGTTTTGAAATAACCATAAAAACGGTAATAAGGATTTAATAATTTTTTAAACATCCTACTCATCGAAATTACAGCATTATTTGCAAAAATAAGCAATCATTGAAATATTATAATTTCGTTAAATATTATCGTACCGGCATGATTAAAAAAACATTTTACGTCATGATATCTTTTTACACTGAGAAAAAAATGCTGTTGATATTTCAATAAGTTACAATATCGTAAATAATGATGCAACAAAACTTAAAATTTGATACGTAATTTTTGATGTTGCACGGCACACAATAAAAATTATGCAGAAATAGGATTCACAGCTTCCGAAACATTTCATACATTATTTACTTTTTCTTCGACTTCCGTACAACCTTTTCACAGGTTTATTCAACGTTGAAGTAAAAAAGTTTATTTTACGGCAACGACGAATAACTCAGTGAAAGAACAAAGTTCAGAACTCGAAAGAGAGGCAAATAATGGGCCTAGTTTTACTTTTTGAATGCTATACGCATCGGTGCACAATTTTTAATTCACGATGTGGAACTTCGCAAGTTTCGTGAACAGTTTTGAAATCTGTTGCACCACCCTTTATATCTACATAATTTTATAAAGTATTAGTAACATCGTTTTTAAAGTACCGATCTGAGAAAAAACAGATCTAAATATTTAAAGTGCATTTGTAAAAATTTCGACACTATTATTATTGGCAAAGTTATTTTTCATCAAAATTTGCCCATTTCTGCGTGGTGAATTATGTAATGCTTTAATTATTTTGAGCAAATTATAATGTACTAAGGTATTAA